ATGAGGTTTATATGGAGTAACCTAAAGGATTCATAATACCCAGACAAGAGCACAAAGTATGTCCCTGTACAAGCTAAAACAACCTTCTAAATAATTGAATGAAAGATTTGATACGAGTATCACTTCTTTGGAGTTTCTGCATAATGATGTTGACTGATTCATTTTCGCAAAATGCACGAAGGAATCCATTGTAGTAATATGTCTTTACATTGATGATATGTTGATCATCAAAACTAATTTAGAAGGTATTCTTGAAGCAAAAAACTACTTATCATTGAACTTCAAGATGAAAGATCTTGGAGAATTGGACACCATTCTTGGAATAAATATAAAAGGTCAGGAAGTCAGATCTCTCTAAGTCAATCCCACTATATATAGAAGATATTGACTAAGTTTCAACACTTGAGCATAAAGGAATTTAACACTCAATTTAATTCAAGTGTGAAACTCGAGAAGAACTCTGGTAGGGCAGTAGCTCAACTAGAGTATGCAAGCACAATAGGTTGCATGATATGTTCAATGTGTTGTACTAGACTGGATATTGCATTTGTTGTGAGCAAATTGAGTTAATATACAAGAAATTCAGGTTTAGAATACTCGAAGGCAATATGTAAAGTACTTGCGTACTTGAAAAGAACCAGTGATCTGGAATTGACATACACGTCACACGTAGAATTTTGGAGAGATATGTTGATGCTAGCTGGATAAATCACTCAAATGATTCTAAATCCACAAGTAGATGGATTTATACTCTAGCTGGTGGGGCAATTTCTTGGGCAAGGATGAAACAAACGTGTATAACCCATTTGACTATGGAAGCCGAATTTATTGCCCTGGCTGCAGCGGGTAATGAGGTTGAATGGATTAGAGATCTATTGATAGAATCCATTTATGGTCATGTCTAACTCCTTCAATTCCTATGTATTGTGACCGTGACGCCACACTGTCGAAAGTCTACAATGTAGTACACAATGGGAAATCACGACATATAGATCTCCGACATAATAATGTAAGGTAGTTATTTTATGATGGTACCTTTAAAAATGTGTTTTTCAAGTCATGTGGGAACTTGGTTGATCCGTTGACCAAGCCTCTGAAGAGAGAAATGGTAGAACCAACTACCAGAGACATGGGTTTGAAACCAAACAGGATCGGTTAATGATGGTAACCCAATTTGGATTTAGTGCTCCTATCTAACAGTTTTAAAGGCTAATAACAAGTCATTTAACTAATAGAAGGTACTATTAACTTATAAACCCATGTAAGGTACATGATAGAATGTCGTTCTCGAGACCAAGGATGAGTTTAATCTCTTAACAAGAGTTTAAAGGCATCTTAGAAACAAAGATGTTACATAAACTTTAACCTATCAAATGGAGAGTTGTTATTCTTATTCTAGAAAGTCATAAAACAAGATTTAGAACATAGCCATATTCGTGCTCCGTGAGAATACAAAGATGAAAGGTGGTGTGTGTATGTATGTGTGTGTGTGTGACAGTGAGAGAGAAAGAGAGAGAGTAAGCCGAAGTGATCATAAGATTCAAGATTTAAATCCTACGGATACTATTGAATTGATCCATTCCTGCATATTTACATCAAACAAGATTTAGGGGCCGTTTACCAAACACTTACCGGGTAAGTGCTTATCGGTAAGATTTAAGTCTATTATTTACTTAGCGTGTAAGATTTTAGTTCATCAAAAAAATATTGTATGCAACAATTTACCCGGTAAGTGCTTACCATGGTAAGAGTCGTCACCCTCACTTACCAGGTAAGACTCTTGGTCTTTGTCTCGCTCTTACCGGCTAAGATTATTGGTTCTTGCTATATTCATCTGGTGAGGTAATGTTACTTGATAAGCGCTTACGCACGTAAGCGTTTGGTAAACGGCCCTTTAATCTTAATGAAACCATTGTGACATCATCTGCCATAACTGTCAGAAAACTTTCCAACCTAGTGAGGAATTATTGGAATTCTAGTGAGGTTGGAAGTTTCTTCCATCCCAAATTGGTAGGAATAAAAACACTAAGGAGCCCTATAAGCTCTTTCCCACAAGTAGGCCTTGAATGTGCTGTTGGGCTTATGGTGGGGGTTGTATGAAAAGTTCAGCACATACGCGTGCATGTTCATGGCGGAGGACGTGGGTCGCATAATTCATGGAATGGCACAAGGAGGTGTACTTTGCACAATCTATCGGAGATGAGGAGCCTCGTCCTGAGCTCCCGAGCTTTCTTTCTATTAAACATTTTAGAGATAAAAGGATAGTTACCAATTAAATATATTTGATATTAATTTAGTATTTGACGAATGTAGAGTCCACCAAGTAATAAGTTTCAACTATTGGCTATTTACAACCAAGATTGTAATAACAGTAAGTCAGGTCAAATCCACAAAGACTCGGGTCATTTATTACGACTATGTAATTCAAGCACAAGAATGGAAACTTAAAAGTAAAATCGAAGGGGATTGGATTCGATTAATTAAAGTAAGTATGTGAACTAAAATTTATAAAAATGAAAGATAATAGAAATCCAACATTAGACAATTCTCAATGATGATGTAAACACTTATTATTGATTTTGAAAATACGAAAAAATAGGACAAGCTTAAGTCAATTATAGTTGTCAATGACCTCATACGACCTAGACTTTCACTTAATTAGGGGCCGTTTACCAACATTTTTTGTTAAGTGCTGATTGGGGTAAGAGGTCTGACTGTGGTAAGAGGTCTGACTGTGGTAAGTGCTGATTGGATTTTCCTGTTTACCAAACATTTTTTATTAAGTGCTGATTATGTCAAAAACACTATTATGTCCCTCTTTCTGGAGTAAGTGCTGATTGAAAATTATTGTTTACCATATGTATTGTATTAAGAGCTAACATAAAATGTTATTTATCAAAAAATTTAAATATAATTTCAAATTCTTTTTTGCTTACGAAAATATATTGATACTCAATATATTAACATATTACCGATTTTCGTAATTTAGAACAAAAGGTCAAATTTTCGTAAAGCAAAACCACTATTAAAATAAGGACCAACAAAGGAAACAACAACAAACCATCAACAACGAACAAAAAGTCATTACAAGTCTTTAACATAATTGTTTGCGTACAAATAGTTCGCTTACAAATATTAATTTCAAGCATTCAACATTAATTGATTTGCAATCTGATCACGCAAATCAGTCATATATTCATTGCCTTGGGAACCCCATTGTGTTTCTTCAACATCTTCCTCGATGCTTTCTTCCTCGATTCCTTCGTCTTGGTCTTTGATAGTAAACATGTTGTTTTCATCATACTCCATAAACAGTCGATCTTGAATATTGCATCTCCTTATAAAATTGCGAATTGCAAAACAAGCAATCACTATATCTTTTTGTATTGGGAAAGGGTAAGGAGCCATTTGTCTTAAAATTGGAAACATGACTCTAGAAAAGTTTCAGCTACTTTCCTCAAAGAAATTATAAAATTATAAAATTATGTAGCCATTTGTCTTAAAAGGGTAAGGAGCCATTTGTCTTAAAAGGGTAAGGAGCCATTTGTCTTAAAATTATAAAATTATGTGTCTTTTCTAACGTCTCAGCTACTTTCCTCCAAGAAATTGCCTTAAGRCTACCACCCTCTCGCCCATTTATAGATATCTCTCGCAAACATGACTCTAGAAAAGTTTTTACCACATTGCAATCTTTCCAACTAACCCTAGCTCTCTTGGGTTGTGAAGATTCATCGACTTTTTCCATACCTACAGAAATTAATTAAACATGCTTCAAACACATGGTTCGATTATCCATGGTTCATGAAAAATTGCAAAGCGTAACATTATATACCATGAATTTACCATCAGAGTTAACAAAAGCTTGATGTATATATGAATGAAAAAGAAGCCAATAGTGGTGGATCTGGACCTACATATGCTGGACCTACATATACTGCAGCCTATGCCAAGAAGCTAGTATACTGAAGAACCATCATTTTCATGGGACAATTTATTACCCGYACCATAAAAAAAACACAGAAAGTTCATGGCTTTGCTACTCTTGTTCTCACACAACCACTAATAACCCCCCAATACTATCCCAAGAAATGATATCCTACAAGATTTGAATATGGATGAATTATGAGTATTTTTATTTCAGATTCTGGTTTCATTATAGTAATCACTGAATATATGGGATGAATCTGGTTTCATTGGAAATGAGTGTTTGTAGTTGCACATTAAGGGAGTAATGAGTGTTTGTAGTTGCACTGCACCATGTGTGTTCYTTAGTAAAGGTGTTACATTTGTTCTTACATGAACTGAATCTGGTTTCATTGAATATGAAGATGCATTGAACCAGTGTTCCTACCTACCTATAAAAATACCATCAAAAGCTTTTTTTCTCTCTTTCAGATTTTCAATAATTAAAGTCTCCAGTTGTAAACTTGAGAATACTCTAGCTAGCTAGATGCTTTAACTAATCTTTTGTGTATTGAATAACCATTAAACACGATGTCAACTTTACAAAGCAAAAAATGGAACTGGAAACAATGAGGAATGTTGCCAAACAAATAACTTCTAGAGATAGGACAACTATGTGTTTTCTTGATAGCATAGGGTCAAACATATAAAATTGTSAAAAGGTTTCTAATAAGTTTTTTTTGTCTTTATGGACATGGTTTTTATGTAATAGTAAAAAAAAATCTATCTATAATACTTAAACAAACTTTCAACAACAATAATCAAGCATACATATTGCAAAAGATACAATTATTCAATGCAAGATCCGAATGATTATCGCTTGCAAGTGACAATTTTCAGACGATGGTTCCCACCATGTGATTGGTCTTTTMTATTATTTTGGAGTTCTTGTAGCATGCAATAGCCTATGTTGAAGGAGAATTCTATGGTGCAAAAGCAACAATGAATGTTTGGAATCCAAAGGTTCAGCAATATAATGAATTCAGCTTGTCTCAAATTTGGTTATTAGGAGGCTCTTTTGCTTCAGATCTCAACARCATTGAAGCCGGTTGGCAGGTGACTTTCTTTCTCTTTCTCCTATCGAATTTGAGATGCAAAATCACATTTTCATCGTCTTACGAAGTCAAATACTACGATAGGACCCACAAAATGGAAGTATTTTAAAGTTAATTTGAACAATATCTTTTGACATAAAGTTCTTGCACTATCTTTGAAACCAGGTGAGCCCAGAATTGTATGGGGATAACAACACCAGACTCTTCACCTACTGGACTGTAAGTTTATGCAAATTGTGATTAAAATCAATTGTCCAAGATTTCTAATTGAAATCAGTACTTGACCCACATGGGATTCAATTCTTATGGTATTTTTATGATATTGAATATTTTGGGCAGAGTGATGCATATCAAGCAACAGGCTGTTACAACCTTCTGTGCTCAGGGTTTATTCAAATCAACAATGAGATTGCAATGGGTGCCAGCATCTCTCCTATTTCACAGAATCAGGGTTCCCAATATGATATCAGCATTCTTGTSTGGAAGGTATATTAAAGCTACTCATACATTGAACAAAAGCAACAGACAGTAAATATAAGTTCAATGCTTGTCAATCAATCCTAAAATTCTTAAATCATACTAACAACTTCAACACAAAGTCTGAACTAAAAAAGTAAATATAAGTTCAATTTCATCCTYCCCAGCCATATAKCGTCTCTCTTTTTCACAAACAACCCAAGAAAAAGGTCAAAATCACAAAAGATTGGCCGCCCATAGGATTTCCTCGATAGTAAAAATCAACCCATTTGCAGAAATTAAAGTAGAGAATGA